TTCCAGCCAATTCTGAGCCAACATGCGATTGAAATGAAGTAGAATTGATCAGCTCCTCTATTTCTTTCAATTTCCTACGTGCCCCAATGAAATGTGTACCTCAATCTGACAGAATTAATGAACACGGACCTCTGCGAGAAATGAAGCGTTTTTATGCGGCAAGAAGCAAGTTTTATGTGTATAGCTTTCACTGAAAGACACACAAACAAACATATATGTATGCTTTAGTCAAAATGCGTTGTTCTCGCCGTCGGTACGGTGTGATGGAAAAAGGACCAGCATAATCAACCCCAACACGTTCAAAAACATGAGATTTTTCAACTCTAAATCCAGGAAGTGGAGCCATTTTTGGTATTGATGGTTTTGGGCGTGTACGAAAACAAGTATTGCAGCGATGAATTCGAGCACGAATACGTGTGATTGCATGTGGAATCCAATATTTTTGCCGAGTTTGCGAAAGAACAATTTGCTGTCCCGCATTAAGATAATCAACGAGGTATTGATCAATAACTAGATCTAAAAACTTCCCTTTTGATGGAAGTAATATGGGATGCCGTTGTTGATGCGATAAATTTAGTGCGTTTTGAAGTAAACCTCCCACCCTAAAAATATCTTCACTCAAAAACGGGTCTAGATAACGTACATGACTGTTAATTGTTAATTTATTGTGCAATTTCGATATTTCATCATTATAAACTTGCGCCTGGATGTTTTTAATTCAAAATTTCATTGCCCTCTGCAATTCTTCCTTTTTATGAAGGGAACCCTCAAATGATGCCAATGCTGCGGAGCGACATTTTCATGAATTTGTGCGATGCGATTTCCTACAAATATTTTCCACCTTGAGGGATCTGAACGTATCCAATATAAAGCGACTTTGAAATCCGTGAATGCAAATATTGATTGAAATGTATGTCTAGAGGTATAATTTTCAATGACAGATTTCATCAATTTTGAGAGCAACAAAGCGGCACATAACTCGAGTCTTGGGATTGTGATCATTTGTTTTGGTGCAACTTTTGATTTGGCGCAAAGCAGTTTCACGACGGGTTTAGAAAATCGAGTAAAGGTGTATACATAAACGCAAGCACCATAGGCATACGCAGAGCTATCAGCAAAGCCTACCAATGATGTCTGTGCGCCTTCAACTAACCCTATGTGACGATCAATGAACAAACCTCTCAACAAAGAGAGTGAGCTTCTATAATCCTTCCATTGGTTAACAATTTCCCATATAAGATCATCGTTCCAATCGATGTTATGTTTCCACAGTTTTTTCCAAATTAGTTTGTCTTTAAAAGTAACAGGAGCAACTAATCCTAGGGGATAAAATATACTCATAGTTAATGATAGTATAGTGCGTTTCGTACAGGACCAAGTATCGATATCAATGGTATAGGTGGATATATCCTTGTGGGTTACCCACTGGACACCAAGAACTTTGGAATAGTTTACTTGATCAAAATCAAATGTGGAATGTAGACGAAATTCTTCCGGAATCCTATGCATTAGTATACGGGAATTGGAAGACCACTTAGAAAGTGTGAAACCTCCTGATGCGAACATTACCTGTAATTGAGATTGAAGCTCTATCAACTCTGTTTCTGAATTAACAGATGTCACAATATCATCGACATAAATATCACGCTTAGCAACTGCAGCTGCAAGTGGATAACGTGACCTTTCCAATTGAGCCAGAAGGCGTACAACTCTATTCGCTATATAAGGAGAACTTGTGTTACCAAAAACAACCTTGTTCAGTTCATAAACCATCAGTGGTTGGCTGGGATCTGATCTCCAGATGAAACGCTGAAAAAAACGATCTCGTTGGTCAACTCTTATTTGCAAAAACATTTTTTTCAGATCAGCTGTCAACACGAATTGATGAAGTCTAAAATGTATCAACACATGGAAAATATCTGCTTGTAATTTAGGGACAATAAACAGTGAGTCATTTACGGAGAATGATGTGCTTGTTGGTGCAGAGGCATTGAATACAATGCGTAGAGGTGTGGTTGGATGATGAGGACGATGTACTCCATGATGAGGATAGTATGCACAATCATATGGAACCTCATGTATGTGTCCAACTGGTGATGCAGTTCCATCCTGAAAATACTCCTCCATCGTCTTTGAATATAATGAGCGTAACGATGGATTCTTATAAAGTCTGCGTTCGAGCGAAATAAATTCAGCTACACAAGCTGATGGACCCAAAAGTTCAGGCGATTTGCGAAAAGGAAGACGAACAGTGAATGTTCCATCAGCGTTGCGAGCGTATATAAGTATCCATGAAATTTTTTTCACATTTTGCGTCATCTGTTCCCATTAGCCTGTTTGTGGTTACATTTTCTAGTTCCCAGAATCTACAAACAAGTTCTTCAAGTGGAACTTGCATTTGCATAGTCTGAAAATGTGAGAAAAAACAGACCGAATCAGACCTTGTCGCTGTATCAAAAGCTGCACGACACATTACCACATAACCTAGTGTTGTTTCTAAAGCTACAGGACTATTCGCTGGACCTATTACTTTACTTGTGCCAATAATGAATGGCCAAAGTTCTGCTCCAATGAGTAGATCTACTTCGAATGGTTCATTGAAATGCGTATCAGCAAGTGTTAGACCTCTCAGGTGCTTGAGATGTGCTAGTGATATAGGTGTAGTCGGAAGTTTTTCACTCAAACTCTCGACTGTAATTGCATGTGCTACATACCTATGTGTACTGTCAAGGCGTGAATGAAATTTGAGGATTATGCTGGCCGAGACATTTAGTGGAGAATAACCAATACCTTTCACAACACACGGTATAGATTCCGTTACGAGCCCTAATTTGCGACAACCAGAATCAAGAATACCTCAAAGTTCGTGGGTTTTATCACGTGAATCTTTAGCTAAAACAGTAACTGTGGCAAGTAACATTGTCGAGGGCATATTAATATCACGGCAACTATCAGTAGAACAAAATGTTTGGCAAGTATTTTCAATTGAGCGGGTGTAGAATGAGAAATTGAAATATTTTCATTCAAAGATGCGCTTGAATAGATATTGGATGTATTGGAGTTGTGTGAATAGTGAAGTGTACTGTGATGCCGCCTAGTAGAACCTTGTATTTGACAGCTCTTACCAGACTGACAGGCGTTACTCGTATGCAAGTGCGACAGACAATTTAAACAAAGTTTTTTAGATTTAACGTAAGTCCACCTATCTTCAGTTTTCATTTTTTTGTATGTAGGGCAGTAATACAAAACATGGGATTCGTGTGAGGTACACAACTGACAGCCAGTAACCCTAACCTTGGGTTTTTCTGAGGTCATATTATGTATATCACCAAAACTTGATTTTGATTCTCGCGCTAATAATGTGTTGTTGAAGTTGGGAACCGATTTTGTATGAGAAACATTTTTATTCAATGAATGCGGATGAGATTTCCCCATAGAAACTGATTTGGAACTATTACTGCGACCAATAATTTTTGTTTGCTCCGTAACAAATTTTACAAGTGATTCAAATTTTGGTATTTTAGAGCTAAAACGATTATTGTTTTTGAATAATCCCGAAGTTACTGTATCTAATTTTCCCAAACCTAAATGTAAACATATAACGTCATCGAGGTCATCTAAATTCATTTGTTTGAGTGCGTTTACTGGTTCTACAAAACCGGAAAGGAATCCTTGTTCAGATTTAGTTAATAGTGATTTTAAATTCAAAACTTTTTTCTATGTAAGAAGAAGCAAGTGCTCTCTTATCATCAAATCTAGCCGTTAGCGCTTTTAAAATCACCGAATAATCATCGGCAGTTGGTGGTATGGAAGCACAAACCGACCTTGCTGAACCCTCCAAATGCGTAACTAAATGAGTAACTTTTTCAACATTAGTATATCCTTCATTTTCATGAACTAACTTTTTGAAAATTTCATACTCGTACTCTTCCGGTACGCCACTGAATCTAGGTAATTCAATAGGTTGAAGTTTCGCATTTAAACCTTGAACACTAGAACCTAAATTTGCAGGAAAATTCTGTTCTTTCAACTCTCTCTTTTGTTCTAATAAAGTGAAAACATCATTGGCAACACAAAACATTTTATCGAATGCTTCCACTTCTACATACGAAGGAATAAAATTGGTTTTAGTTTCAAAAGAAAGTTAATTTATTTTATCAATAATTTCAATGAATTCTTTACGAACAATTGACATCGTTCTGGCTTTAATCTGAAATTCATAAATTCATTTTTCATCTTCAGAGGCTTTTTTTGATAGACCATAAATGATTTGCATTTGAATGTAAATGCGGCTTTGATTATATGAAAAATGAAATTTTTTGATAATTTTAACAATGAGAAGTCTTTTCAAATAATTAATTCCACGATAATCCGGCTCGAAGGACCATTTAATGTTTGTGCGATTGATAATTGCGTAAATACATAATAATTATTCAAATGCGATGTGAACTGTATATAAAAACTCACCCGTTTTCATCTGCGTTCTCTCCTTTCGTCTTTCTCTCTCGCTCTGGTGAGGTAGGTGATAAAAGGTAAGGAAAAGAAAGGAAATCAAGATGGGATCTTCTTTCCACTATTTGTTGACCGATAATCAGATGAATATTCGGGCACGATTCAAGGCGGTGGAACCAACTAATTATTACTCTTCGTTGATTTTTTTTTGAAAACACTCTCAAACACTGATTTTGATATAATTGCGGGGAAAAAGCCTTCCACTCTTCTCTTTACAACGTGCGATTGCGATATATCTTCTTTTACTTTTATCAAACAAACTTTTTATGCCAGTTGCCTTGTTTTTTGATTCAAAGGGTTAAGCCTGGTCTACACAACAATAAAGCCTGCGCTTCCACAGTTTAGGCAACTTTAAAATATTGATTGATACCGGAGCAGGAATATTAATTTTCAAAAAGAAAACTGTAAAGAATTATTTAAAACAATTTAAAGAAAATGTAACGTTCAAATTTCATTCTAAAAGTACATTAGTAATTACACGCCCTGTATGTGAAATCAATCTCATTTATTCAGCACACTCGTACATACAATTTTAAAATAAAAGGATATCCCATTCCAACGAATCCGCCTCTGAAGTTTGACTGGAGCTGAAAAAAAAGAATGTGTTAATTAGCTTAAGTAGAGGAAATATTTGTTATGATTTTATGGTAAATCGAACAATTCACTGTTAACGACCACATACATAAATGATGAGGCAGTACTCACCTTATTTCAGTAGTTGCAGACTAAGAGTCATAAGGGTTTTGTTTATTTGTTTTTCTTAATCGAAAATCACTGAACGTAAACATTGTTCCGATCAGTTGATTCGAGTCGGACATCTAGCTAGCTTCTTCGAAATCTAGTTGATAGTATTTTATAGGTCACAAGAGTCTGTAGTTCCTTGAATAGCCGTAACTCGAAGAAAACTCATTATATTATATAGTAGAATGCATATTTGTACATAGAATAATCTTAGTAACGAGTATTTAGAAATTTAGAACACGAATATACGTAATGTTCGGATGTTTAGGTTTGTTTTGGAATTATTATTTAGAATATGCGTGAGCTATCTATGTGTAGAAGTGATAGGTAGGGATTTGTCATTTTTGATTAGGTCGAAAGGTGTTCACTCCCGTTTGGATTGTGTCCTTGTGAAAGTAACCGCTGGTTGAATTCGAGGTGTTTAATGATTTTTCAATCATCCTCAGTTGGGATAATCTCGAAATTCACCATTAAAGAGTTCTGTAGACTGTATAGTGTATTTGATGGGTTGGTTATTTTGAATACAATTCAGAACTGATCTCGTAAGAGGATTTTTAGTGGTATTTTTTTTGTACGACGACAGAGTACAACGTGTACACGATCCTGTAAAGCTGTTACCATCTTGTATGATACGTGGCAATTCTCTACNATTAATAGGTTAGCACAGGATGAACTTGAGTATGAGCTCAGGGTCAGAGGCATTGCGATTGGAACAGTTGAAGAAATGAGACACTCCTTGTCGATGGCAATTCGTCTCGAACAGTCCGGAGATTCTGTAAATTACCCTGCTTATCCGTTCACGGTCGAAGAGGATGAAAAAGCGGTAGAAGGCAAATTAGCAGCTCTAGTTCCATTGGTAGACGACTACATGCTCGATCCTCGTGCAACAAGTTGCAGTCGAAGCTTGCGCATGTGCTGAATCGCATCGATCACATGGATGAAGAAAAGTCACAAAAGCGTCCACATCTGCGCGCTAAAGCACTTGCAGTTATGGATAACCTTCATCAGAAAGTACAAGATAAAAGAAGTTCAGAAGTTCCACCTCAACTTAGTTTCATGAAACAAAGCTTGGCATTCAATCCCTCCCGGAGATCTTCGAGTCCTCCACCGCCTAATCCGATTGAGTCCCCTAGTACCTCAAGTCAAGTTAAGCCAATATAGCCAATAAAGTGGAATATCAAGTTTCCAGGTGATAGGAAAGGTCCTTCTCTGTGTTCTTTTCTCGAAAGAGTTGAAGAGTTTAGACAGGCCAGCCACAAGCCACTCCATTAGAATCTGGAATAGATTAATTTACAGGAAGGGCATTTCAATTTTATGTCGCTTATCGTAATGAAGTAAACTCGTGGGATGAATTTGTAAATTTATTGAAAGAAGAGTATTTGTCTACGGGGTATAATGAAAAATTATTTGATGAAATCAGAAAGCGCACCCAAGGACCAGATGAGTCAATCGGTATTTATTTAGCTGTTATGACGGGATATTTTAATAGGTTGACTTGTCCAGTTTCGGAGGAAGCTAAGTTGAAAATTCTTATGGAAAATATTTCTCCATTTTATCAAAATCAGTTAGCTCAGAATTAGGTAGGCGATTAGAGGCGAAGAAGGAAGCTGTCGAAAATTATGCAGTGCCTACTCGTAGAAGTGCAGTCTTGGATCCTGATTTAGCCTATGTGGAGGTGTTTTCTGTTGATAGCCTTCAAAACTCTTCGTCTGATCAACATAGTAAATCTAAAGGGTCGGCACACACTACTGTATGCTTTCGTTGTAACAAGCCGGGACACAAGGCTATTGGATGTTTAGAGAAGAGAGATAAGTTTTGTTAAAGGTGCAAAAAGGAAGGGTTCACGGTTAGGACGACACTCCTAGGTGACCGGAAGGAGGGTGTCGGAAAAAATTGTCCGGTCGATCGAATTCAGATCCTTCTAGATTTTGTTTTAGCCATGTTGATAATGATGAGAGGCCATATTTACGTGTTGAAATTTTGGGAAAACAAATTCTAGGTCTTTTGGACTCCGGTGCTTCTCGTACTGTACTGGGAAATAAGGGTTTAGGTATAATTAAGGAGTTACGTCTTACTTTGGATAGTAGTAGGTCTACATTTTGTTCGGTTGCGAATGGTAGTCGTTGTAAAAGTGTTGGCGTCGTAGAATTACCTATCTCATTAAGGGGAAGGTTACGATTGATGGANTCTTTGGACAATCGAGAAACTGAGGCCATATTTGGAATCGGTTGAGTTCACCGTCGTTAGTGACCATTATAGTCTTCTCTGGCTCCAGAGCCTTAAAGATTTAACTGGTCATTTGGCGCGCTGGGCAGTGAGACTACAGCAGTACAGTTTCAAAGTGATTCTTCGGAAGGGAAAAGATAACGTAGTCCCCGATGCACTTTCTCTGTCGGTTCCCGTTGTAGACTTAATTGAGAGTGCTGAGGGTCCGTCGGTGTGTGAAGATACCGAGGATGATAGATGGTATAGATCTATGAGAGAAAGAATCCAAAGGAATCCCTTGAAATTTGGTTGTTGGAGAGAATCCAACGGCAAGTTATGGAAGCATGTACGTGCCGATTATCCCAGATTGTCGCCTCATAGTGACTCCTGGAAAATCGTTGTACCCAAACGTGACCGATACAATATTATGGTTGCTGCTCATGAACCACCTACCTCAGGGCATACCGGTGTTTTCAAGACCTACGCCAGAATTACCGATAAATATTATTGGTCCAAGCTGAGATTTGTACGTCGTTGTAATATTTGCGCTGCTCATAAAGTTTCTCAGGATGGCCTGGTAGATAAAATGGTGTCGCACCCTAAAGTTTCTAGACTATGGGAAATGATTTCTACAGACATAATGGGTCCGCTGCCACGTTCAAAACGAGGAAATTTTTTTATATTGGTGGTTACTGATTATCTCACTAAGTTTCCAGTCGTCTTTCCTCTCAGGAAGGTTACTTCCACTGTCATAATTAATAAATTGGAAAGTGACGTGTTCTTATTGTTTGGAGTGCCTAAGATAATTATTTGTGATAATGGACCTCAATATCGTAGTAAAAAGCTTAAGAAATTCGCTGATAAATACCAAAGCCACATTAAATTTAGTGCTAATTACCACCCTAGGGCAAATCCCACAGAAAGGGTAAACAGAACCCTGAAAACAATGCTTTCTATGTATTTTTCAGATAATCATCGTTGTTGGGATGAAAATCTCGATAAGATTGCTTGTGCAATTCGCACCTCCAAGCACGAAGTCACTAAAGTCACCCCATACTTTGCAAATTTCGGTCTGGTGCAGATTATGTCAAGTGAGAAGTTGTTGATCCGGAAGAGGAATATCGTATTGATGATAGTCATAGGAATGAAGCCCTCAGGAAAATGTTCAAGGATGTTCGTCGGCGTCTAGAACTTGATGGAAATAGGAATTGCGAGCGATATAATCTTCGTCGTCGACATGTGGAGTACCTACCTAATGCCGTAGTATGGAAGAAGAATTACGTATTATCGGATGCCTCCAAATATTTTTCCTCCAAGTTAGCTCCTCGTTATGTTGGTCCGTATTACATTAAGAAGCGTGTCTCTCTGTGGATGTACGAATTGAGAGATGCGGACGGTAACTCGAAGGGAATATGGCATACAAAGGATTTGAAGCCAGCTTCAAATGAGTCTACAGAGTTTTAAGAGAAATTTACGGGGTAAATTTCTTGAACCAAGGGGGGGATTTGTAACGTTCAAATTTCATTCTAAGAGTACATTAGTAATTACACGCCCTGTATGTGAAATCAATCTCATTTATTCAGCACACTTGTACATACAATTTTAAAATAAAAGGATATACCATTCCAATGAATCCGCCTCTGATTGTTTGACTGGAGCTGAAAAAAAAAATATCAATTAGTTTAAGTAGAGGAAATATTTGTTATGATTTTATGGTGAATCGAACAATTCACTGTTAACGACCACATACATAAATGATGAGGCAGTACTCACCTTATTTCAGTAGTTGCAGAATAAGAGTCATAAGGGTTTTGTTTATTTGTTTTTCTTAATCGAAAATCACTGAACGTAAACATCGTTCCGATCAGCTGATTCGAGTCGGACATCTAGCTAGCTTCTTCGAAATCTAGTTGATAGTATTTTATAGGTCACGAGAGTCTGTAGTTCTTTGAGTAGCCGTAACTCGAAGAAAACTCATTATATTATATAGTAGATTACATATTTGTACATAGAATAATCTTAGTAACGAGTATTTAGAAATTTAGGACACGAATATACGTAATGTTCGGATGTTTAGGTTTGTTTTGGAATTATTATTTAGAATATGCGTGAGCTATCTATGTGTAGAAGTGATAGGTAGGGATTTGTCATTTTTGATTAGGTCGAAAGGTGTTCACTCCCGTTTGGATTGTGTCCTTGTGAAAGTAACCGCTGGTTGAATTCGAGGTGTTTAATGATTTTTCAATCATCCTCAGTTGGGATAATCTCGAAATTCACCATTAAAGAGTTCTGTAGACTGTATAGTGTATTTGATGGGTTGGTTATTCTGAATACAATTCAGAACTGATCTCGTAAGAGGATTTTTAGTGGTATTTTTTTTGTACGACGACAGAGTACAACGTGTACACGATCCTGTAAAGCTGTTACCATCTTGTGTGATACGTGGCAATTCTCTACAGTTCACGGAAGTGATAAAACCCCGTAGCAAGGGTAAGTTAACCTTTGTATATATGTATTTATTGAAATTTGTGTAACATTTCTGTTTCAATAAAGATACTACTGTAGGGCAGATTTACCTGACCCTCCACCTCAGCTTGTTCTCTGTGGTTTAGCTGTGGTGAAATTGCAGTCTTTCGTCTTTAGAAATTAATTGTCGTTGTTTTTCTTGTTTGTTTTGTGAACCGACAGAAATGTGTTAGAATCCTGTTCTGTTGGGAATTTAAATAACCATATAAGGTTTTAAGGCATACTTCTTTTTTTTAGGGTTTTTTTGGGTAATTTTTATTTTCGTACCTGCTACGCTGGATTCCAAGCATTGGAAGCACCTAACCTAGAGGCAGAATTCCACACATCAACTGGGTGATCCATCACAACAGGCACCACCACCGGTGTGATTTTCCACTGTGACCTTGAGCATACTACAGGGTGTCCCGAGTTCTGAGGACTTTGAAGCTGGTACTCAACGCCGTGGGAAAGACGCAAGTTTAGATTTCATTTATCCTAAATATCTATAGAACGCTATTATGCTTATGTATCTGCTTCATTGCATAGGTGAAATTTAATGCAAACTATTTGATACTTTATTATCATACATGTGAAGGGGAAATTTAATGCTTACTATTTTATGCTTGATTATGATAATGTGCGCCTACGCTTGAGCTCTCGCGAAGCCGCCCTCACTATGTTGCATGCATTTTAATTTCGGCCCTGATATTTTTCAACACGATTCATGCTCGTCGTTAGTAGGTAGTGACAGATTGAGTTGACGCTTACCAGGTTTGCTTGTGCTTTTATTCATTAGTGTTCGCATTGCTTGAAACGTTAGATTAATCGTTGTATAAATGTATATATATGTTCAGCTAAAATTTTGCTTCGTTTATGGACAATGGTGTTGATGCTGTGAAACATAGTTTATGGAGTATCATGGTATCACGACTGTATATATAATTTGGATACTTGTGATCAGAGTTGCACATTGCTTTCTTATATTGCTATAAACTGCTACTGCTATAGCTACCGTCACCCACGCTTAATTATTATAGGAATTTTTCAGAAGGAGTCATCAAACCATCCAGTTGACTTTTAAACTTGTTTATGTTGAATAGTTCAGTTGATTTGCATATGTTGTTGATGAAGTACACCGGTTCTGAATAAATCTATTTTATGAATCCGTTGTTTCCATGTCCTTTGGTAAATTAGGGATATAGGCACATAACTAAGGGTATTTGTAGGTAAATTTACCTGGCGCCCATTATTATTTCTTTAATACATGTTTTTAACGAACCACTTCCGTCTTCACTGAGTGTAGCCGGAAATACCCACTTGACACTTGTTGTTGGTCAAGTGCAATGCGTCTTTGGTAGATCTGAAGGTCGCAAAAATATTGAAATAACTGGAGTAACAAAAGGAGAGGTAGCAATTACTGAATCCGTATTATTACCTTTTGGAAAAAATAAAGTTGAACATAAAGTCTATATGCACGATTAGATATCGATTTTGACGAAATTTTAGGATGCGATTTTTTGGAACATTTCGAATGAGTAGTAGATGTAGCGTCTACAATGATAGCGAGTCCGACCGGCGGACAGTTGATAGCCGACAACCGAATGGTCTAGTACTGAGAAAGTGTGTTTTATTTCACCACCCTAAAGTTGAAGTTAAAAAAGAAAAACCCAAGATGAATGTGGGAATTTTTCCACATTGGATATTTTTGATTGTAGGGTGATGCTTCCTCAGTAGCACAAAGTTGGGAGAAATGGAAAAGGGCCTTGAATATATACCTGGAGGCAGCAAATATTGAAAATCCAACAAAAAAGCGAGCAGATCTTCTACATATGGGGGGATTTGGCCTGCAAGAAATATATTATAACATACCAGGTGCACAAGTGGATGATACAAATATAGACGTATTTAGAATATCCATAACAAAACTGGACGAATATTTCGCCCCAAAACAAAGTAAAGTTTTCGAGAGACATATATTCAGCCTCATGAAGTAGGAGACCGGTGAGAAATTTGAAAAATTTCTTGTAAGATTGAAGCACCAGGCAGAAAAATGTCAATTTGTCAATCCAGATGAAAATCTCATTGACCAAATTGTAGAAAAGGGGAGCAGTACCGAATTAAGGAAAACATTTTGACAGTCGGTACTTTGGAACAAATAGTAAACGAGGCCAATTTCTTGGAGGCTGTGAAAAGAAAACTTGCAGATTTCAGTAACGTTCCAGGAATGCCTTCTTCTTCACAGAATGTGAATTTTGTGCAAAAAAGAAACTCACCAAGCTCTCAGACCAGAAAAAATATCCATGAATGCACACGATGTGGCAGACTAGGGCACAGCTCAAGCTATTCAAATTGTCCAGCCCTGAGTTCGGAGTGCAACAGATGTGGCTTCAAAGGGCATTTTAGGTCCCAGTGCAGAACGTCATTGCTGAAACGTAAGAAGACAATGTCACGAAAACATCAAAAAGAGTTCAAAGAAAATGAATACTTCAAACGTTCATATCATCGAGAAGCGAGTTAATGAAGACCCAGACTACGTTTTCCATATAGACAATGATGGAGAGGAGACCATCAAATGTTACATCGGTGGAATCGATATAGATCTCCTCATAGATTCCGGTAGTAAAAATAACCTATTAACTTCAGAAACATGGCAAAACTTGGAAGAAAAGAAAATAAAAGTATTCAACCAAGGGTCAAGAGACTCAATAAAATTTTCCTAGCCTACGCAAGTAAGAAACCATCGAATGTCGTCGGATCTTTTGAAGCAACGATTACAATAGCAAATAACTCAACCATGGCTATTTTTGACGTCATAGAAAGGAGAAACAGAAATATGTTGGGAAAATCAACTGCTATGTCTTTGGGAATTACTGAAAATTGGTATCAATTCGATAAATGTCAAATCAACTCCATTCCCAAAATTCAAAGATGTTTTGGTGGATATCCCAACAGATGAATCTGCCAAACCAGTATGCCAAATTTATAGAAGAGTCCCTATTCCTCTAGAGAAGAAAATGAATGAGAAACTAGAAGAACTACTAAGAGAAGATATAATTGAGGAAGTAATTGGATCATCTAGATGGGTGTCACCCATAGTATCCGTATTGAAAAAAATGGTGAGGTAGGAATATGTGTTGATATGCGGAGAGCCAATACTGCCATAATACGTGAAAATTATCCCCTTCGTACCATTGACCAATTATTGCCTATATTTGGGAATGCAAGGATATTTTCAAGGTTAGAAAGAAGGTACTGTCAAACCGAAAAGGAAGCTTTAGTTTTGGTTTGGGCAGTGGAACATTTTCACATGTATCTTTATGGTAAATATTTTTTTGAATTGGTTACAGACCAAAGTCCAGGCCTTGTGCCCGAATAGAAAGATGGGTGCTAAGACTACAATGCTATAATTACAAAGTGATTTATCGTCCCGACAAATTCAACATAGCCGATTCCTTGTCTCGATTATCAAAACTCGATTCCGATTCAAAATCGTTCGATGAAAACTTTGTTTATCAAATCATCAATTATGCCAAACCAAATGCTGTTTTCATGAGTGCCATTAAAGAGTACTCTAAATCAGATGAGGGAATAACTAAGGTAAGAGAAGGAATTTTCAGAGATAACTGGGATCCTTCCTTTGAATAACTTCAAAGTTTTTCAAACAGAAATTTGTTTTTACGAAGGAATTTTACTACGAGGTGATAAAAAAGTTATACCAAATCAACTGAGACCAGTTCAAAAGCATCCCATGAAGGTCATTCAGAAATAGTTGTGATGAAACATCGATCACGGATTAAAGTATGGTGGCCAAAAATAGATTCTGATGCTGAAAAAATGGTGAAAGCCTGTAAGGAATGTACACTGGTTTCTGGCCCAAATCCACCAAGCCCCATGAAACGTCGCGAGTTGCCGACAACCGTGGGTAGCAGTGGCTGCAGACTTTCTAGGCCCACTTCCGTTGGAATAATTTTTATTCGTTATGGTTGATTACTATAGCCGGTATAAAGAAGTGAAAATAATGAGAGAGATTTCAGCAAAAAATACGATATCGGTGATACAGGAGATATGTTCTAGGCTAGGTTACCCATCCTACATAACCACCGATAACGGCCGACAATTTAATAGTCAGGAATTTCAAAACTTCTGCACGGAATGTAGCATTAAACTTCAACATACGATTCCATATTGGCCCCAACAAAACGGTGAAGTAGAGAGGCAAAACCGAGATCTTCTAAAGAGAATAAAAATAAATCACGCACTCAGAAATAATTGGAAAAATGATTTGTTAGAATATTTGATGATGTATAATAACACACCGCACACAACAACAGGAAAAACGCCATCGGAACTATTCTTCGGGAGGCAATTTAGAAATAAAATCACCAGTCTGAAAGATCTCGAGGAAAACACTTCAGATGGTGAAGAAGATAAACTTCTGAAAGAAAAAGGAAAGGAATATGGGAACCGGAAAAGAAAGGCACGTGAAACAGCTTTAGAACCGGGAGATAAAGTATATTTAAAAAACTCAAGTAAAAATAATAAAGTTTGTCCTAATTTCAGTCCTAGCCAATATACAGTATTATGCAAGGACGGGGGTGACGTTCATGTACAAAATTATGAAACTGGTCAAAATTTACGTAGAAACGTTATCCATTTGAAGAAAGTGGAGGGTGAATGAACAGTCAGTAAACCCCCTCCAGCCTAGATGATGAATCGAATTGAAAAAATTTCATAAAACTAATATTCACAATAATATATTATAAAGCAACGATAAAAATAAAATAAAAACAACAATACAAATTAATTGGCGCTCCGGGGCGACTTCATTGATTCCAGTGGGGCCATTTGCTTTTTCAGCTGCAGGAAAATCCGGAAAAACCTGCAGCACCACATTATCTGAATATCTTTATCTACCAATGTCCTCTCTCTCTCTCTCTCTCATAAAACAAATTGTAGGGTGTCTCCAGAGGCTCCCATAGATTCAATACATTGCCAGAACACTTCGTGAGATGACTATCGTCAAACTTAAACCAGTCAGTTTCGTCTTTGACCAAGGCGTAATAATGACCAAATTCAACGCCAGAACCACAGTGAACAATGACTGCATGAATATTATGATAGTGGTCGGCTAGATTGAAATGTTCATCTATTTCGAACCTTCCAAAGAGTTTCTTGTTTCCGTCAGAGGTTGAGTCTTGTTTGAAGATCATCAGTGTTATTATTAGATTGACTGGTGCCTCAGATATACTTGTTTCCTTATAACAGTCAGTTAGTTTAGCGCAGTTTGGCAATACAGTCCATAATCACCTATTAAAAATTCCATTTTCAGATGATTTAACAATAAGCTTTGCACGGACTGGTTATTATTCATATTAGGAAAAGCTCGATGAAGTTCCAGAAATTCACATAAGTTTTCGCTACCTCTTGAACATTTACTACAAAGTAAATAAGTGTAGATTTTTCCAGTAAAAGATTTACAAACACAAGACGAGATAGACTGTACGGAATCATTCAATCCAGAGCAGCCAGAAGTATTGATTTTTCTATTGTTTTGCTCACGAAGAGTATTCAACAAGAACCCCAAGAATTCGGAACAATCTTCTTGTTGTCCTAACGAGTATCTAGTGGACTTCAAAGACTCCAGGAAATCGGTTGGAGGGAAAAATGATACATTCTTACGAAACTGCAGCTGCATGTACAGGTGTTTTAGTTTGAAGAATAAGTAGGAAACATTCCCGTTCTCGTTCATCATTAAAACCTCGTTCTTGAAATTATTCGTCATGAACAACACTTGTAAAATGCTATTCATGTGGCAAGTGTTTCCTAAATTATCCAATCCAATTTTCTTCTCTAGATTTCCAGGACAACTCTCTACTGATTCGTAAGGAAAAACACGTTCCACATAATCTCCATAAGAACCATTTCTCAAGCTGCGATCGATCCTTCCAAGTGAAGAAGGGATCGATTCGGCTCTTGCTTCATGGAGCTCTTCCACTGAAAGGGAACCAGAACTACAAGGACTGCAACTCATATTTGGTGGGCAAGAATGACCATTGACCGCACTGAAAAAGAAGAAGGTGGATCAATCACTTCTGAAATAACCTTGATAGGAGACTGATGAATATCCACATATCTCGGCTTGTTTCCGTACTGAAATTAGGGCAATGCATGATCTTATCAAAATTATGTGAAGGAGGAATAATTCCAAGGACCGAAGCAGCATTGCCACGTTGAATAGCAATACCAATATTTTCTATCTAAAAAGAGGTAGAACGG